TATTATTTTTAAAAGTGTTTAACAGAATAGTTAATAAAGTATGTGTTTTTTTTATAAAAAATATATATTTTAAAAGCTAAAAGTAAGGGTGTCAAAACGGGTTGACACGACACGAATTTGACACGGCACAAATACAACAACACTAATACGACACAAAATTTTATACGTGTCAAAATCTTCAACACTGACATGACACAATTTTTTGTTGATTGATACGACACGACACAAAAAACACGCAAAATAGGGGTCAAAACGGTAATTGACAAAAAAATGGTACAAAATTAAACAAATTTAAAAAATAATAATAAAAAAGTAAAAAATTAAAAATTAAAAAAAAATACAGGTCAACACGAACACGACACGAATTTTTTACGTGTCATTTTTCCCAACACGAACACGACATGAATTTTTTTACGGATCAACCCGAACACAAATATTTGTGTCGTGTCGCGGGTCGACCCACGTGTCACAACCTATATTGACACCCCTAGCTAAAAGTCAAAACAAAACACAAATAATTCATATACATGTTCTCTAAATTTAATTCTAAATACTGAAAAATATAATTTTTAAAACTATTTTTACAAAAAAAAATTCATTCAAATTTTTTTTTTTTTTTTTTGAGAATAGAATCCAAATAAGCCATTATTCTCTTGACCTGATCATATGAAATTACATATGAGATGATTCATTTCTACTTTGTTTCTCACAACTAGATAGCTAAATTTTTTATCACTCGCTACATTTTAAATAATTATCATTTAAAAAATATTATCCATTTTTATTTTAAAAGATCAATGAATTGTATTTTAAATTTTATTATTTTTCTTATTGCTTTTATTAAATAAAATATTAATAAATTGACGGTTACCTTGTTCAAGTTAATATGAATTTTTTTTTATTTTCCTCCCTAATAAAATTTCTTAGCTGTCATTTCCAACGCTTACGTTTGAAAATACCTCATAATTAAAAAACAAAGGAAAATAAAAAAACCAATCTATTAATTATTAGATGTAGGAGAAAAATATTTGTTTTTTTAAATGACACAACTTATGTCATTTCACTTTCACAAAGAGGTGAGACTCACACCTTTATTTTTTATCCCCTCTCATTTTTTATTTATTTATCTATTTCTCTTAAAATGACACAACTTTACCTCCTTTAAAATGACACACATTTTTTCATATATATATATATATATATATATATATATATATATATATATATATAGGAAAATGTTATACTTACCACCTATTTTCTTTTACAACTTTTTACAATCATATCTTAACCGTTGTTTTCCGTTAATCAACGGTTTATATTTTTGCAAATTAAATTTATTAATTAATTATTAATTCACAATAAATGACAACCGTTGATTGACGGAAATTAACGGTTAAGATATAGTTGTAAGAGTTTGTAAACTATTTGGGTTGTAAATATAACCCCTCTCGTATATATATATATATATATATATATATATATATATATATATATATATATATATATATAGAAAATTGTTTATCCTTTTAAATTATACAATTTATATCCTTTTACTCTCACAAAGAAGCGGGACCCACACCTTTATGTTTTTTGTCAACTCTCTCTCCTCTTTTGTCTATCTCTTTCTCTTTCTTAAAATGACACAACTTTACATCCTTTAAAATGACACATATTTTTCCCTATGTATATATAGGGTTATGTTTATCTCATTTTACATGGGATAAACAACTCTCTTACACACCCAAAAAGAGATTGGCTCACACCTCTCTTTTTTCTCTCTCCTTTTATTTGTGGGTCTCACTAATACTTTTGTTTCTATAATATAAGATAATTTTTTTTTTACAACATATATATAAAATATATCCCATATATATATATATAGACAACAAGTCAACAACAATAATTTTGATACTGCCTTGAAAGGCAAAAAGGTAACTTTTTGAGGGTGTGATTTTTATTTCAGGAATCAATCACTTACACGGATCCCAAAAGCTCACTCTCGAGTCTCATTAGTCGAAAGGGTCGCGGCGCGTTAGAAACAAATTCACGTATTTAACAGAAAGAGGCGCGTGTATGTGTGTGTTAAATTGTGCCAGTGACTGTGAAATTTGGTGAGAGAGAAAGAGACCATATCTTCTTCAGCAGCAGCAGCCTTGAAATCATACGGACTTTCCTCCATGATCTGCACAAGTGCGTAGCGACAGTAACTAATTTCAGCACAAAATTAAAGAAGCATCAACGACAACGAGTACGCTAAGACATAAAATTTCATATTAAAATAAGAACAAGCAAGCTTCACTGCATATCAAACTAATTGTGCATGCATGGGGTAATGACCAAACTAGGCATAGTCATCTATTTAGGCGACGCACACTTTTTATAAGTTAAATGAAGCATAATAGCAAGTTAAATCAAACTAGGCCTGCCTCATTCTTTTTCTAATGGCAAATTATATGTTTGGTTTTCCCATAAGCTGAGAAAAGAGTTAGCATGTCATGTAAATCGAGGTTCGGTACCACATTAATGAGTTATTGATTTAATAAGTGGGTCATTAATTCAATCAAAATTAAATTTATGTAAATATATATATATATATATATATATATATATATATATATATATGGAGAGAGATCATTTGACTCCAGAGTAAGACTTATAAGTCTTACTCTCTATCCTAACCGTTGATTTCCGTCCATCCAACGGTTATAATTTAAGAAGTTATATTAATTAATTAATTATTAATTATACTATTAATGACAACCGTTGATTTCCGTCCATCAACGGCTGGGATTTGGAGTAAGACTTAAAAGTCTTACTCTGGAGTCAAAAGAACCCTCCCCTATATATATATATAGGGTCAGGATCATTTTACACTAGTGTAAGTTACACTTTTAATCTTGTCCATTAATCTCATTTATATCTAAGGGCTCAAATTTTTAAGTAATATGAGCCATTGGATACAAGTGGATCAATGGTCAAGATTGAGTGTAAGACTTCTAACTCTTACACCGGTGTAAGAATAATAAATCTTACACCAGATCTTAACCGTTGATTTACTCTTGGGTGCTTGGAGGCTGAAGGAACGCGGAGGAACATCAGATTCATGTTCGTGAGTGGCGGAGACGGATCAACGTCAAGTGTTCACTGGAGATTTTGAAGATCCACCAATCACCTATGGAGTTTGGGGGAGCTTTTCTATTTTCTTTTGTTCTTGATTTTGCCATGTCCGGCTAGTTCTTTAAGTAGTTAGGGTTAGATGGATTTTAGTCGATTTATTATGTTTTGAACAATTTGCTGTGTTAATTTTCCTTTATATCATGAATGAAGTTATCTGTTTTTAATGCTTTATATAGGCTTGAATCTTATATAATGATCATCAGTGAATGCATGACAATAGGAATGTTGGTGTGTGATCCATATCTGATAACTTCATCGTAAACGTTATGATTCTAGGGATAGACATAGGGTTTGCGTAATCTTTAAGATTCTTGAATTTAATGCTTGCATGCTTGGGGAATAACCGGGGAACTAGGGTTCTTCCAATATTGTAAAGGTTTTAGAGTAACAAGGGATTGAGCTCTAATAACATGCGAAAGAATTGATTAGATTGATACTAAGGACAATTAACATTAAGAAGGAATTCAAACGTAATAAGGAGATTAAATGAAATCGAACCCCTAGCTACGTTTTTATTTTATCAACTTATTCAAATCCTTAATTTCTTGTTTTTAATTCTTGCGAGTAGTTAGCTTTAATATTTAATATTTTAATTTTGCAATCCAAATCCTGTTTCCGAATACAACTTCGATTGTCCAACTAAGTTTGCGATAGTGAATTAGTGCTTGAACCGTAATCCTCGTGGGAACGATCTCTTACTTAATCATATATTACTTGTACGATTGGTGCACTTGCAGTGAACTATGAAGCATGCTTGACTGACGCCCATTTATGTACGAAAATAAAATTTATTTACATCATTATACTCTTGATATCAACTATCAACCAATTTCATGTAATTATTCATTATGCATCCATATCAAGCACAATGAAAAATCTCTTAAGATCCACTAATTATTTATTGACTAAGATGGAAGGGGTCTTAAAAATAATTTAAAAAAAAACTTAAATATTAAACTAACTAATATATATGAAGACCTTAAAATAAACTAATACTAAATCAAAATAATATATTTAAAATCATATAATATGAAAATAATATTGAGAAACTCCCCTGAAAAACTGCATTTGTAATTTGGATATTTCTAACTAGAGTAATCAAAGAGAGAGTGGAAAAATAAGTCTCACATCCTTAGCCGTAAGCTTTTGAGACCGTTGACACCGATTCCTTGCAATTCGACCCGGAGATAGAGAAAACAGCAAAAAGAAACAGAAAACTTGCTAAAGAAAGAAGACAGCAAGAGAAAGAAGCTTCAAGCTCAACAGAACCAAGAGAAGAAGCAATGGGAGACAACAATGTACCTCCACCACCTCCGAGAACGTTGGGAGATTACATGACTCCTGCTCGAGTTCCACAGACGGCGAGTATTGTTAGACCAAACGTGGATGCTAACAACTTCGAACTCAAGCCGGCACTTTTACAATTAATTCAGAAAGACCAATTTGCCGGAGGAAGCACGGAAGACCCTTACATCCATCTGGAAAACTTCTTGTTATATTGTGATACCTTGAAGATGAATGGGGTGTCTCAGGATGCTATTTTGCTCAGATTGTTCCCATGTTCACTTAAAGACGAAGCAAGAGGATGGTTGCAATCGTTACCTCAAGGAAGCATCACCCGCTGGGACGACTTGGCAACCAAATTTTTGGATAAATTTTTCTCATCTTCGAAGATGGCAAAGCTCAAGGCGGATATCACTTCTTTTGAACAAAAAGAAAGTGAATCTCTATATGAAGCATGGAAAAGATTCAAGGGACTACTTAGGAAGTGTCCCCAACATGGCATTGAAGCTTGGGAGCAAGCGAGAACCTTCTTCCAAGGGATGACGCCGAACACAAGAACAGTGGTGAATGCTGCATCAGGAGGGTCCTTGAAGACAAAAACTTCAGAGGAAGCCTTGGAATTACTAGAGTCTCTAGCCTCTCAGGAGTATGATAATGCTCCCGCACCACAGAGAAGAGCGGGGATTATGAAGCTTGATGGCTATGATGCCATCTTGGCCCAGAATGATCAGATTCTACAGTCTAATAAGAAACAACAACAACAACTAGATGCTCTCACAAAGCAATTTTCTGATTTTCAAGTTTCTTCTAATACTTCAGTAGCTTTTGTTAATACTTCTTCTATTGTTTGTGATATTTGCGCAGGTGCTCATACTACTGATGACTGCAAGGCACCCGAAACTGCAGATGTTAATGGAATTTGGCATGATCAGAAAGTTCCATATAATCCAGGGAGGAACCAATACGGCAATAATCAAAATCAAGGGTGGAGAAATAAAAATCAAAATCAACACCCGAGATTTAGTTACAGTTCGAACCATCAGCTGAATCCTCCTATGCCAGTGCAACAACAACCTCCACAACAATCAGAATGGGAAAAGGCCTTTGCACAACTATCCAAGACCACATCAGACTACATTCAAAGTTCCAATAATTTCAGAGAGGACACTCAGCCTTTATGCAAGAGACAAGGGCCTCATTCCGGAATCAAGAAGCTTCTATCCGGAATCTTGAAACTCAGATTGGCCAGCTATCAAAGCAGTTCACTGAAAGAGTTCAAGGAACTTTTCCAGGTAACACTATTCCAAATCCAAGTAGGAAACACTGCAATGCGATTACTACTATGAGTGAGAAAGACATTGAACCTGTGGTAAAGCCTTCAGTTGAGAAAAAGAAAGATGATGAACTTGCAACTGAAAAGGAAAAAGAAAAGGAAGTTGCCAAAGAATTTGCTGCAGAGAAAACTGTTCCTGAAAAGAAAGAGTTCAAATGGGAGAAAAAGAAAGCTCAAGAAAGGCAAGAAAATCCATTGGAGCTCTCACCTTATGCAAAGATTCCATATCCGCAGAGGTTCAGAGAGGAAATCAAAAAGCAGCAGTATTCCAAGTTCCTTGACATTTTCAAGAAGCTGCAAATCAATATCCCGTTTACTGAAGCCTTGGAGAACATGCCCAATTACGCAAAGTTCATGAAAGATCTTCTATCACGAAAGCGTAAGCTACAAGAATGTGAGACGGTGACGCTGACAGCGGAATGCAGTGCCATTATCCAGAAAAAGTTGCCTCCAAAGCTTAAAGATCCAGGAAGATTCAGCATTCCATGCAACATACGCAATATGGAAGTGAAAAATGTTCTATGTGATCTCGGTGCCAGCATCAACGTGATGCCACTATTTATGATGAAGAAACTGGGGATCACTGAAGTAAGGCCAACCAAGACAATAGTTCAACTGGCTGACCGCTCTACAAAGCAAGCTTATGGCATTATTGAGGACATACTGATAAAGGTTGACAAATTCATCATTCCTGTTGATTTTGTCATCCTTGATATAGAGGAAAATTCTACTATTCCTATGATCTTCGGAAGACCTTTCTTGGCAACCTCAGGAGCGATGATTGATGTACCGAAAGACGAGTTGATCTTACGGGTAGACGGGGAGCAAGCAATTTTCAAGTTCTTTGATAAAGAAGTCCCTTCACCTATAATTCAACCGCAAGATCAAGTCTACTATATTAGTGAAAAGAAAGGAGAAGAAGAGCACAAAGAGAATTCTTCTCAAGAAAGTAAGCCAAAGGTTAAAATGGAGAAGCTCAGGAGCAAGGGAAAGCACGTAAACACCAAATTCAAAGCTATTGAGCCTACTTCATCTCACTCATATGCACAAGAGTACTATGGGAGGACACTATTTCTGAATGATAGAGCTTGGTCATCACCAAGCCCATGCTTTGAACCACCATGAACATAAAAGAGGTACGTCAGGCTCGTGACGTAAAACAAGCACTTGTGGGAGGCAACCCAACTATATTTTTTATTTTCCAACATTTTAGTATAGTATTTTAAATTTAGTTTAGCTTATTTTAATTATTCTTAGCATAGTTTATTTTAGTCATATCATAAAAATCAAAAAAAATAAAAACATTGAGGTTAATGATCAAATTCTGTTGAGACGGACTTTCAGGTGTAAGTGGGATTAAAGCATACACAGGTACGCAACTCTTATTCATTTATATGTTTTGTGTATGATATTGAGCAGAATTATTGAGGTGGAAGAATACACAGTAGAGATGAATGCAAGGAATAGGAAAATATGGAGAAAATTTTCTAAGTATTGAGAGCTTAAGCCCTTAAAGGAGGCTTAAGCCCCCAAAAAAGTGAAATTTCTCTCGGCCCTAGCGCGCTTAAGCTCTCTGAATCGCGCTTAAGCGCGCTAAATAAAATTTTATCCCATTTCTCACTGCCTCAGCGCGCTTAAGCGCGAATCACTGCGTTTAAGCGCGCTCATCTTTGACATTATGCATACTGTTAAAGTATTTCAGTTCCATATACTCATTATTATTTTCAGATGCATCAGAATATAAATCTGGGAATTGTTATGTGGAAATTGCACTAACTTTGCAAACATGTTGGATACTCGAATACTAATGCTGATATGGTTGCAGACACTACTCAGGATGCTGATAGAAATGATAGTGCACCCACTACTGAAATTGATGAGGATTGACCATTGTCTCAATGTTTAGATATTTTTTTTCTTTTGTTGATTTTAGTTCATGTTGATATGAGATGTATATTGAGACTGATCTTGACGTGACTATGATTTTTTTTTGGATATGACATGCTGACGTAGTTTCTTTATCTGTGACATGTGTGCAGAGTACAATATCAAATTTTTCTGATTTATTGCTTAGGATTCTTTTAGATTTAAGTTTATTGCTGAGGACAACAAGATTTAAATCTGGTGATGGGTACCATGCAATTCATCAGACCATAAACTTCACATGGTCGGAAGAAGAAACTCGTGATTACACGGAGTACACAGAAATATCCAAATTACAAATGCAGTTTTTCAGGGGAGTTTCTCAATATTATTTTCATATTATATGATTCCATATATTAGTGGATCTTAAGAGATTTTCCATTGTGCTTGATATGGATGCATATGAATAATTACATGAAATTGGTTGATAGTTGATATCAAGAGTATAATGATGTAAATAAATTTTATTTTCGTACATAAAAGGGCGTCAGTCAAGCATACTTCATAGTTCACTGGAATAAGAGAAGAATAACTAGAGTAATCAAAGAGAGAGTGGAAAAATAAGTCTCACATCCTTAGCCGTAAGCTTTTGAGCCTAAACAAATTTTTTTTTGTGTGGTGTGAACTTTACTGTTGAATCACTCTAGAACTTGTTTCGTTTCTCTTTGAAATGGTCTGTAGTATACAATTATTGAAATGATAGAGGCAGTTCTTTTTAAAAGCTAGATAGCCAAATAGCCACCCTGAAGGTTTATTCTTAGATTAAGCCCTTTTGAGCCGAGGCCTGTTTGTTCATTGACAGTACATTATGAATAGCCATTTCAGATACATCCTCACCTGAGCTGATTAAATTTCATTTTTAAATAAGGGACTAGATATGATTGAAACAAAAAGAAAGAAATTCAAACTCTAGTGTGTGGAAGAAAAGGTGAAAAGAGGAAAAGCCAAAAAGTGGTGGAAAAGAAAAGAAAAGAAAAGAAAAAGGTTGAAATGTGTATCTGTACAAAAACAGAAAAAGAAAAACAAATAAAAAGTTTCTAGTTTATGAATAAGTGGAAGAAGAAAAGAGGAGAAAAATAAGAGAAATGTTGAAAAGTCATATTAAAGTTACTCTTTAAAATTGAATTTTGATCAGTAATCTTAAGCCACTTACCCAGATAATTCCTTTCCTTTTACCTAAGCCACGTTACAATCTTATCAAAGACCTCTTGATTAACCTTGTATACCAATTACACTGTGGAGAGTGAGAATATAAACAAGCCTATGGTAGTGTTAATGCAGTGAAGTAAGAGTGAAACACACACCCTTAAACACTGAGTATGAGTGAATAAATAAAAACCCAGTGAGAGGGTGTTGTGGAAATTAAATGGTACTACTCTTTCTTTTGAGAACGCATGTTATGATTTTATGACTAGTGAATTATGACTGTTTGCTTGAAATTGATGTGTCATTATTTTTAATAAATCTGAATACTTTGATATCTCATTATTGATCAGTTTTCTGTCTGTTATTCATTAAGCATGACTAGCCGTCTCCAAACTTTCCCATAGTTTTATTCTAATTAATTGCTGAGGACAACAATGTTCAAATCTGGGAATTGTTTGATAAACCTTTAGTTTATCTTATTTTATAGACTAAATTAATATAAAATATCAAGTTAAATAAGTCAAAAACTAGGGTTTAATATAATAATCATGAACATTATCTGAATTTTTGTTTAATTGAATCATCTTTGCTATTTTTTAGGGATTTGTTGACAAAAGGAGTCAAAGATGAAGATTGGATAGATAGAGATCACAACTAGAAAAGATGAGATCAAGAGATGATAGAGGAAGATAAAAAACAAGATAGATTTGAGATCTTATCAAGTTGTTAGAGAGGAAGCTTAAGCCTCCATCATGAAGCTTAAGCCTCATAAACAAGCAAATAGCCTCTGCCAATGGAAGCTTAAGCGCCCCAGAAACCCAACTTAGGCCCATTCAAGGTGTTTCATCGAGATACAAACTCTTGACCTATTTAAACACCATTGGGGACCAGAAATACATAACTTTTACATTGCTAAACAACTCTTGGGTGCTTGGAGGCTGAAGGAACGCGGAGGAACATCAGATTCATGTTCGTGAGCGGCGGAGACGGATCAACGTCAAGTGTTCACTGGAGATTTTGAAGATCCACCAATCACCTATGGAGTTTGGGGGAGCTTTTCTATTTTCTTTTGTTCTTGATTTTGCCATGTCCGGCTAGTTCTTTAAGTAGTTAGGGTTAGATGGATTTTAGTCGATTTATTATGTTTTGAACAATTTGCTGTGTTAATTTTCCTTTATATCATGAATGAAGTTATCTGTTTTTAATGCTTTATATAGGCTTGAATCTTATATAATGATCATCGGTGAATGCATGACAATAGGAATGTTGGTGTGTGATCCATATCTGATAACTTCATCATAAACGTTATGATTCTAGGGATAGACATAGGGTTTGCGTAATCTTTAAGATTCTTGAATTTAATGCTTGCATGCTTGGGGAATAACCGGGGAACTAGGGTTCTTCCAATATTGTAAAGTTTTAGAGTAACAAGGATTGAGCTCTAATAACATGCGAAAGAATTGATTAGATTGATACTAAGGACAATTAACATTAAGAAGGAATTCAAACGTAATAAGGAGATTAAATGAAATCGAACCCCTAGCTACGTTTTTATTTTATCAACTTATTCAAATCATTAATTTCTTGTTTTTAATTCTCGCGAGTAGTTAGCTTTAATATTTAATATTTTAATTTTGCAATCCAAATCCTGTTTCCGAATACAACTTCGATTGTCCAACTAAGTTTGCGATAGTGAATTAGTGCTTGAACCGTAATCCTCGTGGGAACGATCTCTTACTTAATCATATATTACTTGTACGATCGGTGCACTTGCCGTGAGTAGCAACAAGTCTCCGCCGCTCACGAACATGAATCTGATGTTCCTCCGCGTTCCTTCAGCCTCCAAGCACCCAAAAGTTGTTTTGCAATGTATAAGTTATGTATTTCTGGTCTCCAATGGTGTTTAAATAGGTCAAGAGTTCGTATCTCGATGAAACACCTTGAATGGGCCTAAGTTGGGTTTCTGGGGCGCTTAAGCTTCCATTGGCAGAGGCTATTTGCTTGTTTAGGAGGCTTAAGCTTCATGATGGAGGCTTAAGCTTCCTCTCTAACAACTTGATAAGATCTCAAATCTATCTTGTTTTTTATCTTCCTCTATCATCTCTTGATCTCATCTTTTCTAGTTGTAATCTCTATCTATCCAATCTTCATCTTTGACTCCTTTTGTCAACAAATCCCTAAAAAATAGCAAAGATGATTCAATTAAACAAAAATTCAGATAATGTTCATGATTATTATATTAAACCCTAGTTTTTGACTTATTTAACTTGATATTTTATATTAATTTAGTCTATAAAATAAGATAAACTAAAGGTTTATCATGCATCTAATAATGGTTAAGATTTATTGTGTCTCATTAATTAATCAATCAATAATTCTCATTAAATTTTAATCGTTAGATACATGAAAATCAACAATTAAAATTTAGTGTAAGAATTATTATTCTTACATCGGTGTAAATTGATCATATCCCATATATATATATATATATATATATATATATATATATATATATATAGGGGAGGGATCATTTGACTCAAGAGTAAGATTTAAAAGTCTTACTCCTCATCCCAGCCATTGATTTCCGTTCATCCAACGGTTATCATTTATTTGAAATTAATAATTAATTAATGCATTAAATTACTAAATGATAACCGTTGGATGAACGGAAATCAAGGGCTGGGATGAAGAGTAAGACTTTTAAATCTTACTCTGAAGTCAAATGATCCCTCCCCATATATATATATATATATATATATATATATATATATATATATATATATATATATAAATCGAAATAATATAAGAACCAAACTAATTTGACTTAGCAATTACTATTATTTTAAGTCCCAAAAGTGCAATTACAATGGAGTATTTTGTCAAAGTAATTTTGACTTAGTGAAATATTTCAAAAATCGATTCAACCAAAAATTGGTATTGAGTTAATACCAGATGAACCCAATTTTTTACTGGTTCTTTGATTGGGTTGTATGCTTCTTTGATTGGGTTGTATGCATGACCCGTTAATTGATTAAATCAAATCGATTAATAGTCTGGCTCCAATGCAATTGAGCGATATTAGTACACGACTTGACATACAAATTTCAACTTATATGACTTCCCTCATTTTATTTTGTCCAACAAGTCATTGGCAAAAACTCTCAAATTTAAGGTGATGAGAAATTAAGTCCTAATTAAGGGTGGCAAAACATGTCATGACTCGCGAGTTAATGTTTGACACGACATGTTAAAATACGTGTCGTGTCAACTTATAGGATAAAATATTAAAACAGTCGTGTGCAGATTTGATTCTAGTTATTTTTGCGATGCTACCTACTTTAAGAAAAAATTGTTTGTCCCCGAACATTTTGTTAAGTATAATTTCATAACAAATAATTATTTTTTTTTTAAAAAAAAAATCACATACAGTAGTTTATTTTCTTCCTCATAACTAGTTAGCTAAATTTTTAGTACTCACTCCATTTTAAATGATTATCATTTAGAAAAAAATATCTTTTTTATTTTAGAAAAAAAAATCTATTATTACATTTAAATATATATGGACAATAATAGTAATTTTGATACTACAGTAGAGCAAAAGAGACACTAAAACAAAGAAAGAAGCAGCATTGTTATCATCTCTTTGTGAAAAAAATATATATGAAAAGACAGGACCTTAGGGTGTGTTTGGTACAAGAGAAATTTTTTGGTGATCGGGAATCATGATTAATGGGAATTCAGTAGAAATTGAGTTTACTTGGAATCTTACGAAAGAGGTGTTTGGTTCGTCAAAATATTACCGGGAATATTGGGTAAAAATTACTGATTCCATATTTGGTTTAGAACGAAATATGACTTGGAATATGAGGTTATTTTACAAAAATAACCCCAAACTATTTTTACTTTTGTAATTGATAGATTGAGTCTCGATTTTTATGTGTATTGGGGTATTTTTGTCTCAAAATTTATTATTGTGCTTTCCCTTTACTTGGTATTCTGATTGGTATTACCATATTATTTTTGGTTATCTGAATAGTGACTTTTCTTTATAAATCAAATTACCGGTAATCCTTGGATATCTGGGAATTGTAATTTATTCCTTCTACCAAACGTGATAATTACATTTACCAAAGAAGGATTACCGATAATCCTCTTCAAAAACTTGAACCAAACACCCCCTCAGTGAACGTGACTCACCCAAGAACCAAGACAAAGAAGCATGAAGATATCCTTCCTTTCATGTACGGAGCATATTACGATGATTTTTTCCTCCTTCCTTTCATGTTAAGATATCCATTTGCTATACACTGTATGCTTTACATTTTGTAGGGCCTATTTCGACCAGTCCATCAGTACTGAATGCATGTACGATAAAATAATTTATCATAATTTTAGGGCCTATTTCGACCATATCATGTACTGAATGCTTTAAAATGAGTAACCTACCAAAATAAAATAAAATAAAATATTAAAATGTGTATAAAGACAGAAAAAAGAATTCTTTAGATTTCAATCAGAAAATTATTTTCTTCTTTGATCGGAGATGCAGTATCAATTAAAGAAACATAATAATTTTAGATCCGTAGTTATTAAAATTATTTCCTTGAAATTTCAACTAGTAATTTATCATATTTTCAAAATTGTAGGACGAAAAGAAAAGCATAAAGAAGAGCAGTACAGTATGCATGTACGATAAAAGAGAAAAAGAGAACCTGAACGGTAAGGGGATGTTGTGCTGCGGAATAAGTGGGGTTTCCTTATGTGTGGTGGCAGAGTGAGAATGAAAAACATATCTGCCGACTCTAATTTCTGTTCGTGACAAAAGACCTGACCATATCCCTCTACATCTCCCTCTTTTTTCCCAAACTTGTTCTTCTCTTCCTTTGGAAGATTAAAGAATTCTTGAGCACCTGTCTTCACATTTTCCACCTATGAAGTGCTGACTCCATGATTAATCAGCTGTAATTCATAAATCATTTTCAATTAAAAATACATATTATGTCTTCATGCACGCCAACAAGAAGTGCATATTTATTATATCCAACATATTATGTCTTGTATCTAGCAAACACCTGTGAAATATGGTGTGATATATGTAGTTATGCATGCAAATGAATAGCAATCACAAGTAATTGATTAAATCTCTCTGATCAGGATAATAATTTCTATTTTTTATGATCAATATGAAGAGAGAATTACAAAAAAAAATAATAATAATAATTAATACAGCATCACCCAACAAGTTAAACTTTTAGGTTGAATTGATTCTAATTATGGAAATAAATAATAATTACCTCCAACGTATCTCCAATATTAATGATCAAAACATTTGGGAGGGGTTCAATAGGAATCCATAGTCCACCTTTTCTTATTTGAAGACCTTCTACTTCTTTGGCTTGCAAAAGGATACTATGGCCACCACCATCAGAATGAGGATTGAGTCCCATCACAAGCTCTGGTTGGGGACATGGTGGATAATAATTCATCCTTATTGATTGAGCCCCTTCACCAAATAACTCTCTAATTTCCTTTGTGTCCAGTGTTAGCGCATTTGCCATAAGGTCTATGATTTGGATGGCAAGGTTTTTCATTTCTGCTGAATAGGTCCCTAAATAATCTCTGCCTCTGCAACAAAATGAAGATATCATGCAACCCCGCGAAAAATAAAATAATGTTTTGGGTAGTGAAATACAATGACAATATATTCGAACTTCCATACAATTTGTAATACATAATCTATTTGCTAAATTCAGTTTGCCATGGTTGCTTGTGGTTTGGGTCAATATCACTTTGGCGTTACTTATTTTCATTTTGTCTTTTTATCTTGGTGTTAATTTGTTATCTGTTATAACTTTGTTAATGTACTTATTTTAGTTATAATCTATTAAATCATTAGGTTGACACATCAAGAATCAAGACATGTCCCATAATGTGTGAACTTTATGCTTTAAAGATTGTTGATTTTCAGATAGGGAGAACATTGGCCCTTTTGAGGTAAAAAAAAAGGGAACTTTTAAAAAGCATTGATTGAATTTTGAGTCAAACCAATAAAAAAGTTATCTTGTTACATCCCTATTCACTATAATCAAAAGGCCAAAAATATTGTTTAAATACAAATACAGCTGTACCTTCTTCTTTTTTTATTACATCTATGTGCCTCAAAATATTTTATACAAGAAAATTGAAAGTCAATTAGCCGTGAAATCTCAACATATTCGTGATAATCGCATCGGTACAAAAATATATAGAAATTCAATAATTTTAAGAATGATTGTGCCAATACACTCTAATTAACTTTATAATTAGGGTACCACTACGGTTAGCTAGTGGGGTGTTTGTGGTGTGCATAGATGTTTGTGGTGTGGGTATAGTGCGGTGTATGTCCTATTAATACAAGAATCTTCGCATCTCATTCTCTTGTTTCGTTGGTGAATCACAATCATGAAGATCTTTTACAAGGACAAGGTATGGAGTTTACTACAACACCCTTAACTTCTTTTTTTGTCTTTTTCTTTTTTTTGTCTTTTCTTTTCTTTGGTGAAACCATTTATAAATTTCAACATTTAATCAAATAATCACCATTAATTTGCTTTCCTAAGCTTATTGTCTTTGTGTACACTGCCTTGAATTTCGAAACAAATTTCAAACAACCCAAGATTATTTGTTGCTTGAAGAAAAATATTAATTTCTAAAAATCAAAATGTACAAATTCAAATGTAATGAGAATTAGTGAAAACTATTTTTCCTTTTAAATGATACAACTTGTGTCATTTTACTCTCACGATAACTTTGACTCATATATTTATTTATTTTTATCCACTCTCTCCCCCATAATTTATCTATTTCTTTTCACTTAAAATGATAAAACTTTACGTCATCTAGACTGACACACACTTCTCCCTAAGAATTATTATCAATACACGAATCTCCCTCCTTGGTGAATTACAATCACAAGTCTAGGCGGTTAATCATCTAATAGAGCATTAAGCTCTGATACCACTTGTTAGGAAGGTGGCTTTCATACTAAAGAGATGAGTGAATTGAATATTACAAAATTTTTGCAAAAATCTCCTTTTAGTTTCTAAATTATCATTTCAAGCAAATTATAATATATGAAAAGCTAATCAATTAATTCAAACAATATATAACATATAATCTATCGCAATTATAACCCTTGATTGATGGAAATTAACGGTTAAGATCTAAAATGAGACAAAATTATATTCTATAAAAAGACAAATGTTTTTTTCATATATATATATATATATATATATATATATATATATATATATATGTGAAAAAAGTGTTTGTCATTTTAAATGACATAAAGTTGTGTCATTTTAAGAGAGAGATAGACACAAAATAATATTTTTTATTAAAATTTAAATTTAAAAATCACTCACTCTCTCTCATAATTTTCATTCCTTGTGTTTATCTCTCTTAAAATGACATAACTTATATTATTTAAAATGACAAACATCAAACCCTATATATATGTAGTAAGAAACTTTAGTCCTAAGCTTCTTGACTTCTTCTTATACACCAAACTCAATTGGGCTTTGGTAAAAGAATATAAACCTTATTTACCAAAAAAATAATAATATATAAACCTAACATGGCGAATTATGTCCCAAATACTAACAAAAATTCTTTTTCTTTTTCTAACTTTACCAAATACTCCTCTCTCTTTTTTATCCGTAAGTTGGATGATTCTGGTTATTTATGTGGTGCTTCCCACTATAATAAAATTTTGTTTGTCCCTGTAGGTTTTGTCAAGTATAATTTCGCAACAAACAATTTTTTTTTTTTTAAGCTACATGCAGTTGTTTAAGGTATGTTTGATTGTATTCAAGTTTATTATTTTTAAAACTGTTTAATAGAATAGTTAATAAAATATGTGTTTTTTATAAAAAATATATTTTAAAAGCTAAAAGTCAAAACAAAACACAAATAATTCATATATATATATATGTTCGCTAAATTTAATTCTAAATACTGAAAAATATAATTTTTAAAATTATTTTTACAAAACAGGCATTATCAAAAAAAAAATTCTTCTAAAAATCAAAAAATTATTTTTGAGAATAGAATTCAAATAGGCCCTTATTCTCTTGACCTAATCATATGGAATCACACATGTGATGATTCATTTCTACTTTGTTTCTCACAACTAGATAGCTAAAAATTTTATCACTCACTACATTTTAAATAATTATTATTTAGAAAAAAATTATCCATTTCTATTTTAAAAGATCAATGAATTTTTTTAAAATTTTATTATTTTTCTTATTGTTTTTATTAAATAAAATAAAATATAAATAAATTGACTGTTACCTTTGTTCAAGTTAATATGAATTTTATTTTATTTTCCTCCCTAATCAAATTTCTTAGCTCTGTCATTTCCAACGGTTATGTTTGAAAATTCATAATTAAAAAAACTAAGGAAAATAAAAAAAAAACAATCTATTAATTATTATATATATATAGAGACAGACAATAACAGTAATTTTGATGCTGCAGTAGAGAAACTAAAACAAAGGAAAAAGTACGTACAAAAAAAGAAGAAGGAAAAAGTTGTAAAAAAAGAGAAAACAGGGACCTTAGTCAATGATGCTCTGCTGGGGTTAGCTTGAGGGGCGGCTGGGGTGTGCAGAGTATGGGAATAGTGATCATTTTGTCACTGTTCATCATAAAATTTACTAGAATGTCACGCGTACAGTAAAAATTTCTAAATTGCCACGCAGGCTAATTCGCTACACAGTGTAGCGAATTATGCCTGCTGATGTGTCACCTCCACACTGGTCCACGTATTTCGCTACACAGTGTAGCGAAATATGGGTGGATTGACACGTGTCCAAAAGGTGACTGACCAGGCTGACCTTTTGACCACGTATTTCGCTACACTGTGTAGCGAAATACGTGGACCAGTGTGGAGGTGACACATCAGCAGGCATAAATCGCTACACTGTGTAGCGAATTAGCCTACGTGGCAGTTTGAGAATTTTTACTGTGCGCGTGACATTCTAATAAATTTTATGATGAACAGTGACAAAATGATCATTGTTCCCAAAGTATGCAGCTTGTAGAGAGTGTACGAAGCTTTTGTTTATAGAAGGGACAATAACAATGATGAAGATCTTTACTAAGGACAAATTCTCAAATTTACTATAACACCCTTAATTCTTCTTTTGTCTTTTTTTTCCCCGGTGAAACCATATATAAATTTCAACATAATCACCATATATTAATTTGCTTTCCAGCTTACTAGTTGATTACCCGTGCGATGCACGGAGAAAAAAGAAATCGATTTGTTCGTATGACATAAACATGTAACTTTTAAGGTAGGAACAAAAAAGAATATAATAGTTTAAACACAGAAAGTTCCATAGTTGACAACAAAATCTCCATTAAAAAAATCCAAATTGGCTCTTGATATTTGAATTATCATGCAAATTAAGCAAAGCATCAGGAGAAACTTTCAACAAAGGAAGTTTTACTTTTCCATTTACGCAGCACAAACCAAACTCTGGTGTGCTGGGTTTACGATTTTTTTTATTTCTCTCCTTGTACCACAAATGTGCTCCGCATTTCTCGCAAACAAAAGTAGGATCCCCGCATCCCATTAATCTTAATAAATACAAACACGGAGAAATCACGATAGATGCATAAATTAGGTTCGAAAGAAAAAATGAACAAAATTTAAATTTATGCAAATACCTTCACTGTTAGAAGTAATGTTAGGCACAATGGAATTATTTATATAAGTACCTGTAGCATAAAGAAAAAATGAGACGAAGATATCAGAAATCATTTCAATACTAACATTTTGAATATTTTTTCTTGCTATAAGTAGAATTTAATTACTTTAGGGAATTTCGTAATAAAAAAACCACAAAAAATATGTTTTTTTAGATTAAGGAACTATTGAAAAGACCAAGTTTGACAGCACCCAACTTGTTTGGAAGAAATGGAATAGTAAGATAAAAATATATTTTTTTGTGAGTGAGGGAAGACGTAAGGACTGTCTCTGGAGTTTCTAATTAAATTAAAACACTCATAAATGGTATATTGGTACCGTGATAACCCATCTTTATGACAAACGGAGACATTCAATGTCTTGTCTGCCACCACAAATGGTTATTTAATTATTCGATTTAAAAATTAAAATTCGATTTTTAAAAGAAATTCGTTTTCCACCATCCATATTTAAATTCAAAATTTTAAACCATTTCAAATTTCGAATTTCAGATTAGATGACCAATTTCAACAAAAAAAACGATTAAAACAGCTGATTATCCAATTAAAATTTCGAATTTCAAAACCATATTTATTAATTAATTATTCTTTTATGTCTGCCATCACAAATGGTCATTTAATTATTCGATTTAAAAATTAAAATTTGATTTTTAAAAAAAAAATCTTTTCCCACCATCCATATTTAAATTCAAAATTTTAAACCATTTCAAATTTTGAATTTTAGATAAGACGACCAATTACAACATAAAAAGCAATTAAAACAGCTGATTTCTTTTTGGATATCAATGTGATGGGCAGTGGGACATTCAATGCCTTGTCTGCCACCACAAATGGT